TATCCTGGGAGGAGTCCTTCGTGGACAAGAGATATAACAATTACACAACAGTTAAAAAAACTGATATCCAAAAATCCAAAAGATGTACCTCTCAGTACAAGCACACCCGCAAGTAGCCTGTAACGTCCTGTTTCTGTCATCTGAATTTATTCTCAATATTATCTTCACCATCAGTGCTAATAGCAGATGCATATCCTGTGGTTCACATCAATCAGCAATTTGTACACTTAGTGTTGAGCACAAAATCACTAATGCTACTCAGCAGTAACAGTCTGTCTTTAAGGAAAACAGTTTTCCGCTAACTTAGCAAGAAGGAAGATGACAAGTGGATTGTCATCGTTGATTTTCCTGACTCCTGTCCACAAAACATGTCTAAACACAGAATAACAAAAATATAGTTAATAAACAATTAAGAGATCAACATCTTAAAACACACAGTAAAAGAAATGTAGTGTTTTTTGCAAATGTCCAACAACCTTTTGGGTCAAATCTTTTTGACTTAATGTTTCCTAGTTTGAGGGTTGTTGAGAGATTATGAAATTATCATTAAACAGGATTTTTCAGCTGCCACTGTACAGTTTCTACTTTTCACATACAAAACAAACAAATACACATTACTACGTGTCTATTTTGAGGGCAAGTGATCACCAAGGCGAAGTAGTTCGCGGGGTGCAGCCTGTGGTTACTTACTGAAGTCTCCATCTACTCTTACAAACAGAATGTGCAGCCATCTCCAGAAGTGAAACCTGAACCAAGAGTCCTAAATAAACCTAAAGAAAATTCCATTCACAGGTAGGGCTACATCTGTGTATCTGTGTAAGACAGCAGAAATTACATCTAAAGATTTGGACATTTAAAAAGAGCTGTACTCACTTGTGACAAAGATATGTTTTAAATTACTGTAGAAGCTGTCAGAGGCATCACCACTGCGGTGGAGCTGATTTGTCTAACCGATACTTCATGCTCGACATTCCAACCTCCAAAAGTGAAAAAAGACAATGCTAAACTGTCAAAAGAAAAGAAATAAAAATCAGAGTTCTTCTAGATGCAAGTCTCTACACATAGCAGCCAATCCTGAAAAGCCTTTGAGCTGTAATTTGTAACTAATATGAAGAAAAATCTAAATTAACTTAATTAAAATATCATATACAGAATGACCAGTCAAAGCTATATTTTTGCCATCTTTGTGGTCCACAGAGGAGTTGTTTTGAATATTATCAGCTACTTTAAGGAGTGGTGTGAAATCTGATACAGATATTTGTGTTGCCCATAAGATTAAGTTACAACAAATACTGTTAAAAGTGCTGAAAAATCTGGATAGACTAATGTGAGATTTGATTGATATATTAATACTCCCCAGAGCACTTAGTCTACAGATTCTGATTATCAGCTCTCTTTTTCTTCTAGTGTCACCATTAACTGTCTTTATGGGTATTTTTTTTAATTTAATTTGAAAAGACTGTCAAGAATTTTAGTTCTGACATTCATCTAGAGCCTGTCTTACCTTTCTTTTAAAGCTACTATAAAATTATTATTTATGGTTTTTCTGCAAAGAGTCATCGTCTGCTGTTTGGATTGTTGTGGAATTGGTTCAGATATTCATGGTCCCCCAACAGATTAAATCACTAAACTAACTGTTACAAAGCACCCTTCAATTGTCTTAGCAGCATAATGCAATTGTATGTTTTTTTGAGTTTTTTGAATAAATGGCCTGTAAATGGCCTGATCCCCTCTGGAGAACACATGTGTCTACACAAAATATCTTAATGGTTCATCTTGTGGGTGTGTTCATCATCTTGTGTGTGTATAGCGCTTTACTTAGTCCCTAAGGACCCCAAAGCGCTACATTCACTCATTCACACATTCACACACTGGTGATGGCAAGCTACATCGTAGCCACAGCTGCCCTGGGGCGCACTGACAGAGGCGAGGCTGCCGGACACTGGCGCCACCGGGCCCTCTGACCACCACCAGTAGCCAACGGATGAAGTGTCTTGCCCAAGGACACAACGACCGAGACTGTCCGAGCTGGGGCTCAAACCGGCAACCTTCCAATTACAAAACAAACTGCCAACTCTTGAGCCACGATCGCCCCACAAGATGAACCATTAAGATATTTTGTGTAGACACGTGTTCCCGAGAGGGTTAAGTTTAAAAACTTAATTTTTTATTAAAAGCACTGCAAAATTGCAATGCAGGGTCTTTCCTCTTGCGTCACTATGAAATGATCAGTCGTGTGTTGCTGTTTTTGTGGTTGTCGTTTCACAGCTACAGGATGAATTATCATTAAATTTAGCACAGATATCAGTGTTCCCCACAGGATTAATAACCTAGCAGCAACATGATGTTGTGTGCATGTTTACATAAACATTGGGACAACTACTGAACAGATTTGGATGGGAGTTGTTACTCATTCAGCCCCCAGAGGTTTTATTCAGTTTGAGACTGTCATTATTTTATAATTTTTTCCTCTAGTTTAACAATCTAGTGTTCTTTGTGTTTTTATTGGAGAATTTAAACAACCACAGGATAGGTTACAGAGACACTCCACAGATATTTAAGTTTGATCTCACTTTAATGACTTTCTTCTGTTAAAGCCTACAGTTTATAGAGCTGTAGTGGGGGAAAAAACAAAAAAAACAGAACAATGTTATGATAGCTTGTCATGGAATTTGGTGAAGACCATAGAAAATGATTTGTAATAAACACTGGTGATCCATTCATTTTATTCTGTCTCATCATGGGGTCAAATTTTCAACTCGTACAATAATTTGGATCATAGCCAAATACTTAATGGCCCATGACATCCCCATTAGTCGCAGCCACATTTGTATTTAGTGCTATCAAACAAATGTAAGAATAATAACACTAAAATATGACAGCAGCCCTTTATTATAGGTAAATGGGGGAGATTGCAGCATTAAATTAGGGGCAATTTCTCACTATAAACCAGACAGGCAGAACATGCCTCTTTTCTGCCCTCTCCCTCACTACTGTTCATCATCCTCCCATGTCTGTTTACCCAAGCATCCCTGCAGGCTGTCATTAGTGCAAGATAAGCAACAGAAGCACACACACAAGGGCACATAAGCAATCTGTTTGCATAGATTGGCAAAAAAAATAAGCTTCCAATGTGCCTTATCAGAGGACGAATGTACACACGCAAAAGACGCCAAGTCCTCAGACTCATGCGTGCAACATGGTCCGATCTTCCCACAGACATACACTGCACTAATTATTCAGTGATAAGAGTCTCCAAAGTGGCCTCAATGTTGAACCTGCTGACAGAGGTGTCTGCTCATCTTACTAAACACACCTCTGTGGCTAAGCTCAAGGCCAATCAGTATTTACAGTCTGTGGGAAACACCCTTCCAAATTACAATGTGTCAATCCTCTCGCTCACGCACTCAAGAAACATAATCACTGCACGGCTCTGTGAAAACACTGTGGTTTGGCGCTGTTACTAAAAGTGTAGCTTGTGTGCTTTTGTTACAGTATCTGAGGAATACAATGGGCCAATATGCTGGGAACATGCCAGGTATAAAGTTAGAAAGGTGCTCTGCAGCCTCCTGAGAGAAAGATCAGGCGTATGACCTTTAGCAACCCTGACAGACCACAGCGACCACAGCTTTTACTTGTAGCAGAGTACTCCTACACAGTGGTATGGCTGTTTTTACTACAGTAAAAGATCTGAATACTTTATATTCCACTGGCTCCATCAAACTATGTAAGGGGAAGAAAAATGTTTTATTGCACGCGAACACCCTGTATTAAGATAACGCGTATCATAGCCAAAAGCATAATAATGAAAAAGGCAACTTGTTCATGCCTTCCAAGCTTAAATCTTAAACTCACACTATGTAAATTCTTTTATTTTAATATTCTTTTCACACTTACAGATTCAACAAGGTGATGGAAAAAGTCATCAGACGTTTTGGTTCCGTTTCACAGTTACTGCACATTTGTCAGCTGAACATCCATGAAGCCAGTCTGCAGTCCCACCACATCCTGCTGCTCTATTGAATTTAGAACTGGTGACTGTGGAGGCCATTTGAGTACAGTGAACTCATTGTCATGTTCAAGAACCCAGTGTGAGATGATTTGAGCTTTGTGATATGGGGCATTATCCTGCTGGAAACAGCTTTCAGAAGTTGTCAATATGGGCATAAAGAAACAGACAGGGTCAGCAACAATGTTTAGGTAGGCTGTGGTGATTTAACAATGCTCAGTTGGTACTGAGGGTACTAAGATATACATATAAGATATACACCATACCATTACACCACTTGCTTTCATGTTGTTTGCGCACAATTCTGGCGCTACCATCTAAATGTGTGTTCAGTGATGCTCTTCGCCAACAAGTGCGTATCTGAGTTACTGCTTGGGATGGCCAGAAAATCCTAGTAAATCAGCAGTTTCTAAAATACTCAGACCAGCACCAAGAACACATGTAAAGTCATATGAATCAACTCCCTTTTGAAGTTTGAACTTTAGCATCACGAGGACCACATGTAAATGCCTAAATTAACCAAATTGCTGCCATGTGATTGGCTGATTAGATGTTAGCATTAACAAGAAGCTGAACATGTGCACATGGCTTTAGTGGTCAGTGAGTTTAATTTCTCATTGTTTAAATCTTACTGAAGTGTGAGGACTTTTCTATCCTAAGCACTTCTGTGTTTCATTATAATCAATTTTCTTGTCATATCATCTTTGTTGCTGCTGTTTTATTGTAAATGCAGTATTATCACTGTGACAGTATACAGTATTGTCACTGCTGCAGTGCAGGTAATGTTAACTGCTTCATAGGGAAAATTGCACATATTACACAAAATGATCTTTTTTTTTGCTTAAATATAAATTATGATATCTAATGTTTTGTCACTAAATGACAAATTGATGAATAAAAGACAGACATGTGTAGTAGAAGTATAAAGTGGGAAAACACTTGCCAGACATACCAACAGTGTCTTCAACAGACAAAAGAAAAAGGAAAGAAAGAGGAAAAACTGTTATTTTTATTTCACAATTTCTAGAAATTGACTTTTGCAACTATATGGCAGACATATAATAAAAAATAAAACGTACACATAAAGAAAAGGTGAGTGAAAAAGAAAGCAATTTTCGCACTGCAATGCCAGATCAATCTGAAGGATAGACACCATTTAAATAGGGTCAAATTGATAGGAGTCCATTCATTTAATTAAATAATTCATGTTTTCATGAACAGTAGGTAGTAAAGTTTTTCAACAGTGATAAGGAATTCAAGATTATTATATTGCCATGCATTCACCAGAAAACAAAAGAAAGCTCCTTAAACGTTTTTGTGTCCACAGGTTAGCTTAGTCAATACCTCAGGAAAATATGGCATTTTTGGAATCAACGTAATGAAAAACACAAACACACATGTTTCATCAGTACAGTCTTTGTAAACAGTCACATAGGACAGTGCTTTACAGCAAGTGCATTTGTTAACTTGTTTGTGTGCTTTTGGATTTATGGCAGCAACAAGGTGGATTAAAGTTGTTTTCCCTGGTGGTCCAATTTTAAAGGCAGAGTGATGTTATACTCAACAGTCTCCACAAGGTGGGCAGTGCTTCTGAGTAATGCAGTCTGTTCACAGTTTAATGGTCCACAACACTCAAACGCATCCTGAGACAACATCTCTCAGTCCACCGGGGCAGCTGACCGCTGTGGCTACCGTGCCGTGACCATCCACAGGCCCAGCGCCACGTTGGCCGCCAGCAGGGCACTGCCTGCCAGGAGCAGGAAGAAACCAATCAGCTCACGCTTCTGACGGTCTATTACCACACTGGCCAGCGTGGCCTCCAGCAGGGCGTTCAGCATCCACTGACCATCGAGAGCAAAGCACGGCACAGAGTTGACTACTGCTAATGCGCCAGAGAGGGACACCACGTATCTGAGAGGAAGGGCAGCTCAGGAAAACAAACACAGTAACAGGCAATTATTTAAGTGTCAGTTTAAGCAGCGAGCAATGGAAGCAGAGAAAGTTTACTTCTGTCTGCTGGACAGCTAGCAAACAGTAGCAGTCCATTCTTTACAGTTAGTTCAAAAACTCCAATTTGGTTAATTGTCTGAAAGAAATATTCTCTCCTGTTGAGACAGCTCCCAGTTTGGGCTCAGGACACAGACACACTCTCTACCTTAAACTTTCCATTTTGGTAAATTCCCTTCAGTAGGCCCTGAACAGTCCCATAGTTATGCTACTATAAGCTCTGGCTGTTGATGATAAACAGATGATGAACAAAAAAGTTGCCCTTTGCCACGACGCTCTACTTTACACTTCCCAAAGGCATACCATTAGTACTTTCCCCTTTGTGGTTTCTCATTATTCCTCTTTACTTTCCCTTAATTCCTCAACCAGTTGCAGTGGCCTCCATGAGGTTGATTCTGCCAGAACTCTTCCTGTGAAACAGGAGTTCTTGACCATCACCAACTGCTTGTTCACAGGTTGTGATTGTTGGACATTTCTATCTATATTGTAAGGCTGGGTACTCCAACTCCAGTCCTCGAGAGCTACTGTCCTGTAGCTTTTAGATTCATGCTTGTTCCAGGACATCTGAATCAAATGAATGGCTTGTTACCAGGCCTTTGTCAAACTTGAAGCTGAAGAAGCAATTAAACCATTTGATAGGGCTGTGTCGGAGCAGGGATGCATCTAAAAGCTGCAGGACAGCAGCTCTCGAGGACTGGAGTTGGAGAGGGGAATTAAACTATTAATTAAAGATTAATGAGATACGTTTTTACATTGCATCTTCTTAACATCTGTCATTTAATTCAGCCAAAGCATATCACATCAGTGAGAACCAGTAGAAACAGCATTATCTAGAATATACTCTCAATTAGTTGTTACTTTGGAGTGTCTGTCCATAAAAAAAATAAAGGGATCCACCATGACGTTACTCAGTGGTTTGTGCAGTCTGGTGTTTGAACTCTCAAACTAATCATTATGGCCGTTGCCATGTTGGCTTTTTGAAACAGTACATCACAAAGTCAATCTGACTGTGAATCTGAAGGGCACTGCACACTCTTGTCGAACACAAGAAAGAAAAAGGAAATAAAATATACTGTATTCTTTATCTTCCTTTTTGACATTAATGGGAACATAACTCGAAAAACGAACAAGATGCTGGATTTGACATGACCTAAAACTAGCAAGTCAGTCAGAAATAAACCCATAAACCCAACAGGGATGTGTTTAAGGACAGCACAGATCAAGTGTGGAAAAGGCTCCCCCTCCCCAAATGCATGTTAGTACAATTGAACGTCTGACCAAAGGAATCACCCTCTGGCTTTTTATCATTATGAATGAATGTTTAAGGCATGTCTGCATTGACTTCACCTTTTAGAAACCAAAGACGCATTCATCCTTTATATACAGAATTTTTTCCATAATTGAATTAGCACTGCATGTACACGTGTAAGCAACGGATATAAAACTATAAAACATATAATTAGATTTTAGGGAAAAAAATCCTACTGAGGAAGAACTGGAAGCTGAAAATGACTAGATGAGCAGGTAGCTGCTCACCAGTAGTAATCAGAAAAGGCGGCACGCTACAATCACCTGGTCAAATATGAGCAGTGCTGGTTTTCAAAAGATCACCATTAAAAACATATCAACGTTGAATCATCCAAAATGCCCCAAGACCAAAGAGCATGCTTTTAACTTTCAAAGCATTACATAACAAGAAGAAACAACTCACCCTACCCTTACAAATAAAAAGGTGAATTCACATTAACGAGATACAGTTTTAGCCTTCACCGTCATCTTAACATAAACTTAATGACCTTAATGAGACCATGTTCTTTTCAGCCCAAATAAAAATCGTTTTCAATCAATCCAAGTACCAATCAGCAGTGCCAAGAGATAACTACTTTGTTAAGTAGTCACAAAGAAAAACAGACCTACAAAAATGTAAAAACGGCTTAAAAAGGGTTGAACTGCAATCAGAAATGTGCACAGCAATGCAATTAAGGGCTGCATTCAGGCAATCTTAAAGTGCATCTGGCCTCTTGACTGTGCTGATTAGATGTTAAAAAGGGGTCTTTTATTCAGAAAAAGACATTTGGAATCAAGTAAGATGAAACTTTTATGCTATATAATCCTAAAAGAGGAAACTGAGAACATGCAACACATGATAAAATGTTGCACTGCATGTTATAATTTAAAGTGACAGAAGAGTAGGGTTCATTCTTCTTACACCCATCCTTGATTATGACTGTAGTCCCTTTAACCTGAAAGGATACTTGCAGAAGGTTTCTAGGAATACAGGAAGGTCCAGGTGGAGGAATCCAAAGCGAGGGACAAAGTTAGTCAGACTCACTGTGGAAATAAGAAAACACAGGATATATAGGTCCTCAGTTTGATCCACTGAACACTTTATGAATCTTAAATATGAGCTGAGAAAACATCCAGGCTCTTCGTGATTACTCCCTCTGCCTTGCCCAGAGTCAGTTCAACATCTACAGAACACTGTAAACACCAATTACTTGCTTATTACAGTAAATGCAGTTGCTTATTACAAGTTTGAAACTGAAAACACAAGATTTAAACAAATGATATGTTCAACAAATGGTTGCTTCAGCTAATTATGTCCTACATTCACAAATGGAGGTGACATAAGTGTACGTACCTGCATACTGCAGGTGTGGCGGATATCCCACGAACAGCATGTGCGTGTTGGGAGGGTGTGTGACACGGATGAAGCGAGTCTGGTTCTCCAGAGAAGGCGTGACGCAAATGCTGGCAGTGTGGGAATGTGCAGCACAGTCGTCATCTGTATGACACACTCGCGTTCCCGTCACCATCTTACGTACTGGCATGCAGGCGTACTGAAGCCACAGGATTACACAAAAAACACAGGAAGTAAAAAACCGATTTTCAGTTACAGCTTTGTTCAGTTACATGCAGCTTTTCTCCATGTTAGCTAGCTTCTGTTTCCGCCATTAACACCCATTCATTTTGGTACGGTGTCTTTTTCCATACAAAGCACGACTGCACAAACACTTTCAGCTTGTATTTCAAAATGTATATCTAATTATTCTTTTCTGTAAATAAGGTTACAAGGTTATGAAAGCGCCCCCATTTGAGACTGGGAGGAGACACTGGCATTGCAGCTTGAATGCGATAATAGAGAGCAGCGCAAAATAGGAGATGATTATTTTTGGTGACTACAACTCAACTCATGACATCCCCTAACACAGACATTTCAGAAATACACCTAGCAGGCACTTTGATAGGTAGAGCAGTTCAGCTACTGGTTAATGCAAATATCTAATTAGCCAATCATATGGCAGAATGGGTAAGAAAGGTGATTTAAGTGTCATGGTTATGGGGTCAGGTGGGCTGGTATGAGTATTTCAAAAACTGCTGATCTACTTGGATTTTCCCACACAACCATCTGTATGACTTTCTGATCTGAAGAAGAGAAAACATCCACTCAGCTGCAGTTCTCTGGGTAAAAATTACATTTTGAGGTCAGAGAAGAATGGCCAGTGTGTTTTGATCTATAGAAAAGGCAACAGTAACTCAAATAAATACTTAATAGAACCAAGGTATGCAGAAGAGCATACCTTGAAGCACATGGGCAGAAGACCACACGGAGTCCTATTCTTGTCTGCTAGAATTTGCACAGGCTGACCAAAATTGGAGAACAGAAGATTGGAAAAGATAGCTCGGTTTGTTCCGCTTAGATGTCTGCTACGTGTATTTTGTTTGTTTTTTTGTAAGCGGAATTTAATTTTTTAGCAAATACAAACAGAAAGTATTCAATCATAATTTTCTTATTGTGAGCAAACAGCCAGACTCAGAGGCTATCCTTCACACTGCAGGCCTTGAAGCCAAATTTGTTTGAATACTGAAAAACCTTTATTAATTTTATTAAGTCCCTTTACAGCAAGCAACATCTTACCCTTTAGGCAACATTGCAAGTGTCAGGCAAGATTATGTAACAATAAAACAGTACTGATAATTGACAGCTGTCATTGGGGGACACTTCTAACTCACCAGAATTTATGAAATAAATGTATCAGAATTCAAACTTTAATTGTTGGTGTTCATTTCCTCCAGATGGGGGTTTGGAAAATGCCCCACAGCCACAAGAACATCAACAAAACCTTAATTTATACAACAGTAACAACATAAGTAGAGATGACAGGGAAGGGGCTTTCCTACACAGAGATTTTTGCGACCTCCACCCAAAGAGGTTTTAGCCACAAGTGGTTGGGGTTTCATTTAACTCTGTCATTGGGCGAGAGGCGGGATACACCCTGGACAGGTCGCCAGTCTGTCACAGGGCTAACACACAGGGACAGACAACCATTCATGCTCACATTCTCTCGCACTTGCACACCTAGTGGCAATTTGGATTATCCAATTAACCTATCCCCACAAACTGCATGTCTTTGGACAGTGGGAGGAAGCCAGAGTACCCGGAGAGAACCCACACAAACACGGGGAGAACATGCAAACTCCAAACAGAAAGACCCCGGCCTGATGGTGGAATTGAACTCAGGACCTTGTTGCTGTGCGGCAACAGTGCTAACCACCGTGCCGCCACTGTGTTACTGTACACATTCAGGATAATTTACTGTAGAGGTAAGCAGACAAGACAAGAATAAGCCTTAACCGCTGCTGTGTTGCCAACATTTGGTGGCACATCAGCCCAGACAGAGCTGTGGGTGGTGACAGGCAAGAAAAAAAAACAGAAAAATTTCAATCTCATTGTCCCAATAGGGGTCATAAAACCAGCTCTCTCATGTAAAGCAGCCCTCGAATGCAGATGCTCAAGCTCTGTCACTCTGGGGCAAAACCAATCAGATTTGGGTCACTTCAGCATGTAAGGTTGACACAGAGTAATCTTCAATCGCAAGAACAAAACGTAACAGAAGTGGCATAAAAACCCACAGAAGAACTGTGGCTACTCAAGAAAATAAGGCGATAAGAAGAACTGGTGATTTAGACAAAGTGTGCTCACACCAAATGCTAATAGAAATCCTAACTTTACTCGAACAGTGTCAAACTTTTTTCACAGCACCGCAGCTGAAAACTCATGGAAAGTCACACATGGAAATAAAAGGGAAGTGAACAAAGGAAGTAATATAAATATCCGCGACTGTCTAAAAGGTTTTGAGACCTGTTTGTATGACTAACCAGCCACAAAAAGCCCCCACATCTGTCAGTGAGTGTGTGTCACCTCTCTCTCTCTGCTGCTCCTGCCCTGTGATTTAATGTAAGAGAAGCAGAGGTCGGTCAGGCTGTTGTTGCTGCAGCAGTCCATCGTTCCATCCAGACGCTTGAAAGCTACAGAGGGGAGAGAAACAAATGGAAAATATAGCACAACTCTGAAAAGAATCTTAAAAATAGATGTTCTGTTAGTAGGTGGACTCGAAATGGATGATTAGATAAAAATAACACAATATCACACCATTTATTCGATGACTAAAAAGTCTTCTGGACTCCTTAAAAGGTCATTGGCTTAACTCTGCATAGTAAAAAGCACATTAATCTGGTGTGCTTCAGGCGAAAAACCCCAAAGACTCTGTTCTGCATATCTAATATGACAATAATTACTAATGCCAGAGTAAGAAGAGTATCATAAGCAAAATCCCCAGTGATAACTTGTTTCAGCTTATTTTCGATAACCATCCAAGACACAGACTTTGAAAGACAAAGGACAAATAAAATGACATAAATGTCTGATCTCTAAGCTGTTATGTCAATAAAAAAATTTAGGACTATAATAGAAAATTAACATTAAGGGCATCTGCTCCTAAATCACTTGAGTAAATTCTAGACCACAGAGAAGCAGCAGGAGCTAGGATTGGCCAGCTGTTACACAATTACCTCCCACATGAGTTGACACTTGGCCAATCGGAGCTCCTGTTGCTGCTCTGTAACTGTGACCCCGTTTAATATTTAAGTGGCCCACTGTAGTGATGACAAAACAAGGTCAATTAATGTTTAAATCAAGTGATTAATAAAGTAGTTTAATAGCTGCCTTTTGAAAGACGTTAATTTATGATGCTATTACGATTTAATACAGTCAAGTCTCCAGGTAGAGGTACTCAGCTGGCTCTTTATTGGAGGCGTACATACAAAACTATGAAATAATACGGCTTTCTTATGTCTTGATAGAGCAAGTCCGGTGGCCTTGCTGAACAAATTCCTCACCCACCTCGTCCATGAGCCCAGCTGGGCTGCAGGCTGGCGACAGGGACGCAGTATCCCGTCTGTGGTGTGTGAGCGAGGTGAGACAGGCAGCTGGTCCAGTCCTCCACTCCCCTGACGGGACAGTCTTCCAGGCCTGTCACTATGTCCCCAACTGACAGACCCCTGGGACCGTCAGCTGCAGAGCTCTGGACCAAATACACACGCAGACATAAATCTTGATTTAAATGGGCAAAAGGTCACACAAGTGAAATCTGATGGCTTCAGTCCTGCAAGCTTGCAATAGTTGGGAAACTCTGACAAATACAATAAGCTCTTGAGCAACAGTCACCAACTGTGGCTACACTGCTGCAGCATAAATACATTAATGAAATAATAAATGATTAAGTCATAAAATTTAAAAAAGTATTTACCGTGGATTTAAGTGGGGAGGATGAGCTCATAAGTCACATAGCCTAAGGAAAGAAATCTAGTGGTAATGTAGCTGATACTATTGTGCTGTTTGTCAGATGGCAACGGGGCTGGTTATTATCTCCTTTGGAGTCTGGTCAAACACCTCGCTTCATCAGTATCAGCGACACACAGGAACTAGTGACGTTCTGGGTGGTTTTAGTCACCCACTGCAGGGTATTCCTGTTCTGACCGTACAAAGCGTACATTCCAGACTGCAGAGCTTCCAGTTAGTCTTCTACTCCCCCTCTGTGGATGTTTACAAGAACTTAACACATGAATTTAGCCTGGTTTTGCTTTTTCTGACCCTTCTTTCCTGGTTGGAGATTAGTGATAGTCAGTATTCTGGTCATTGTTCAAGTATTTTAAATGCTGCTACACTGATGAGCAGATAAAGCACCCTACATGGATTTTTAAAGTGGATTAAATGAGCTAATAAAGGGACACTAGCAGTGGTAAAGAACATATAAAGAGCATAGACTCCAACTACAGACTTGGCTATAACTATATTTTACTTAACTATTTACTACAGGGGATTATGTATTGTTGCCCGAACCACCTCAGCTGGCTCCTTTTGGTGTGGAGGAGCAGCGGCTCTACTCTGAGCCCCTCCTGGATGGCCGAACTTCTCACCCTATCTCTAAGGGAGAGGCCAGCCACCCTTTGGACGAAGCTCATTTCCGCCGCTTGTATCCGCGATCTCGTTCTTTCGGTCACTACCCACAGCTTGTGGCCATAGGTGAGGGTAGGGATCGACCAGTAAATTGAGAGCTTCGCTTTTACACTCTGCTCCCTCTTCCCCATGACAGACCGGTGCAGCGTCCGCATCACTGCAGCCGCTGCACAGATCCGTCTGTCGATCTCTGGCTCCCTTCTCCCATCACTCGCGAACAAGACCCCGAGGTACTTGAACTCCTCCACGTGGGGCAGGAACTCCTCCCCGACCCGGAGTGGGCATTCCACCCTTTTCCAGCTGAGAACCATGGCCTCAGATTTGGAGGTGCTGATCCTCATTCCCGCTGCTTCACACTCTGCTGCGAACCGTTCCAGTGCGAGCTGGAGGCCCTCACCCGATGAAGCCAACAGAACCACATCATCCGCGAAAAGCAGAGATGAGATTCTGAGGCCACCGAAGAGAAAGCCCTCCGCCACTTGGCTGCACCTAGAAATCCTGTCCATAAAAATTATGAACAGAACCGGAGACAAAGGGCAGCCCTGGCGGAGCCCATCACCCACCGAAACGAGTCTGACTTATTGCTGGCAATGCGAACCAAGCTCTTGCAACGGTTGTATAGGGATCGAATGGCCCGTAGCAATGGGCCAGACACCCCATACTCCCACAGCACCTCCAGGACACCCCGAGGGACACGGTCGAATGCCTTCTCCAAGTCCACAAAACACATGTAGACTGGTTGGGCAAACTCCCATGCACCTTCAAGTATCCTTGAGAGGACAAAGAGCTGGTCCAGTGTTACGCGACCAGGACAAAAAACGCATTGTTCCTCCTGTATCCGAGGTTCGACCAGCGGACGAACTCTCCTTTCCAGTACCTTGGCATAGGCTTTCCCAGGGAGGCTGAGGAGTGTGAACCCCCTGTAGTTGGAACACACCCTCCAGCCCCCCCTTCTTAAAGATGGGGACCACCACCCCGGTCTGCCAGTCCAGGGGTACTGCCCCTGATTTCCATTTCCAGGTGACATTCCATGTCCCAATTGCCAGTCTTGGTAGCCGGGGATCAGTGCGCCAGGGCCTCTGCTCCTGGCTGCCGCCCGGCACACAATGCACCCGACCCCTATGGCGCCTCCTGCGGGTGGTGGGCCCGCGGGAGGATGGGCCCATGTCCCCTTTTCGGGCTGTGCCCAGCCGGGCCCCATGGACTAAGGCCCGGCCACCAGACGCTCGCCCTTGGGCACACTCCCCGGGCCTGGCTCCAGAGCAAGACCCCGGTAACCCTATCCCGGGCAGGGTAAACTTTTCCCTCGATGTTTTCTTCATAAGGGTCTTCTGAATCGCTCTTTGTCTGGTCCCTCACCCAGGACCAATTTGCCATGGGAGACCCTACCAGGGGGCAAAAGCCCCCAGACAACATAGCCCCTGGAATCCCTGGGACACACAAACCCCTCCACCACGATAAGGTAGCAATTCACGGAGAATTTTTTAAACATATATAAAGGCTCAATTACCCAAAAATAACATTATTGATGATAATATTATTAGTAGTAATATTATTAAGCTGTTCACCTGATGTACCTCACCTCCACAGGTAAACAGAGGTGTGTTTTGTAGCCTTTCTCATCTTAAATCAACAATCCTCATCATCATCGATTGTAATCTGGCTGATGATGTAATAGCATTATGCAGCATTAAAGCAGTGGTTTATTTCAGTGTTTATTTGATTAATTTATGACAATGACATTCCCACCTCAGACAGAAAATGAAACATTCAGCGGGTTTGTTGCTCACAGGCTTCACATCAGTTCAGTTTGGGACAGAGGCAGGGCAGCTTTCTGCTAAGCTCAGCTAAAATTAATTCATGTAGAGGAACGACAAGTAACTTTATGGAAAATGGATTTTCTATCACGTCGACCTACCCCTTTACCTGATATGTGAAACTGAGGCACTGACCTGCACAACCTCTGTGACCAGCGCTCCAGCTCCGGTGGCGTACATGGGAAACAGGAGGAGAGGCAACAGGAAGAGAAAGGCCAACGCTGCCAAACACAGAACAAAGTTGTGCCACACACCTGGAAAGAGAAGGCAAAAAATATCTTTTTGTTTTTCCTCATTTTTATCTTCATTTCAGTTGTGTAGTTTTGCTTTTAAAACTTTGGGTTTAAAAAGCAAATCTTATCTTATCTTATCTTAATCCCGTTAAAAACAATATTGTCAACAACAAGTCGATCTATAGATGGAGATGTTCATTTCAGTTCTGTGCTGCTGTGGTTTTTCTTCACCCAACAAGCCATCAGCTAGCACCACAGCTAACATAGCACAGAGGAAGCTAACAGTAGGATATTGGCATTTTGGAGGCATTTTACACCAATAGCTGCTGTTTCCACTTACATAAAAAACTTCTGCAAACATACAAACTGTGATCAAAGTAAGCAGACATGGCTGAAAAGATGAGACAACTATGCTCACTATCATTTACTTTCACTCTTGTCATGTTCGAGTCTTTACACGTGAAGCTAGTAGGGGTTGGTGTAACACCTGTCAGTAAGCTTTTATTACACTTATGTTAACATAAAATGTTGTTGTCACCGCAATTAAATATGATTCCACTGCAGCTGTCTCCTGTCAGCTGCACACCTGCTGCAGTTTGCGGCCTCATGACTCTCACTTTGATCCAAAATAAGATCAGTGAAAATAAATTAGTTGAACAAGACAAATACATTATTTTTCCCCCACTGTATTTCTCCTGGACCTGTCTTCATTTATTATTTCACTGTTTAAGTCGAACTTGATGTTTTTTTTCCATATATCTATCTCTCTCTCTCTATATATATATACACACACACCCAGTAGGGCTGTTCGATATAACGATATATATCGGATGACGATATAAAAACGTCTATCGTTTCATTTTACACTATCCTTTGTTTCGTGGTGTCGCAAAATAAACTCTTTAGGGCATTATTGTTTCATCGTTTTGATGGTCACTGTAGTGGCTATATGAATTTCTTAAAGTTCTCTCTTTCTCTTATATTTTATATAACCACACTACGGACAAGCGCCTGTTTTTATGCGTTGTGGTTAGCAACAACGACGGTAACACCATCGCGTGTCCGCTTGTTTATCTTCCACATAAACCTTTCACAATAAAGCTCAAGATCCTGTTGAGACTTTTCAAAATAAACATGAAACTATACATTTTTAGACATAAGTTGTAACGGCCGCCGTTTGCTTTGTGAGTATTTATTACACGGCGTGCTGCGGGGAAAAGCCTGTTCTAACGTTTGAGTCTAAGGTTTCTTTTTTTGCACCTGTCGGCTTTTTTTTACTTCTCATCCATAAATAATCTGCTCTTTCACGTTATTCTACATCTGTTAAAACACTCGACTCCAGGTACATGACGCGCAGCTGAGATTCACAGAATTTTCAGGAAATGTTACATTTTTGTGATTTATATCGTTATCGGGACGATAGAATTCTTATATCGGGATATGAGATTTTGGTCATATCGCACAGCCCTAATACCCAGTCTTTTTCTCACAGTGAGGCATACAGATTATTAATTTAACAGCGTTATTGATAGGAACTCTGTATTGGCAGACACTTGAAGCCAAAGTCTCCATTTCGAATTGGAAGCGGTGGAAGACAGGTTCTCACATTTTCCAGCCAGCTGCTGCAGTAATTACTCCTTCTAAATCAAATCAAGTGGAAATATGACTGTTAAATTGCCTCGGTGTCTGAACTTTAAATGGCTATAACTACAAGCTCTTGTATTCGTTTTAATTTCTTACCATGTTATCTTAAAGTATGTAAGTACATAGAAAGGGAAGTTTCTGTTTGTCCAATGGTTCAAAGAAAACTGTAGTGCACCTGCTATTTTCTATGAACAAAAATTTTAAATATTGAGGTCAGTGTATGCTCAGTTTCAGACTTTTTTTGGGTGGGGGGGTGGGGGGGGGGAATCTCTTAATTATGTCACTGAGACAGATATCCCATATATGGTCATCACAGCTGTTGCTGAGTGTGCAGATGCCCCACCCACATGCCGTTTGCTGCTACAGCTACACATGTTTCTTTTCCAACTATTTATTTATAAGTGACTTACAGTGGGGCAAAAAAGTATTTAGTCAGCCACCGATTGTGCAAGTTCCCCCACTTAAAATGATGACAGAGGTCAGTAATTTGCACCAGAGGTACACTTCAACTGTGAGAGACAGAATGTGAAAAAAAAAAATCCATGAATCCACATGGTAGGATTTGTAAAGAATTTATTCGTAAATTAGGGTGGAAAATAAGTATTTGGTCACCTCAAACAAGGAAAATCTCTGGCTCTCACAGACCTGTAACGTCTTCTGTAAGAAGCTTTTCTGTCCCCCACTCGTTACCTGTATGAATGGCACCTGTTTGAACTCATCATCTGTATAAAAGACACCTGTCCACAGCCTCAAACAGTCAGACTCCAAACTCCGCCATGGCCAAGACCAAAGAGCTTTCGAAGGACACCAGGAAAAGTATTGTAGACCTGCACCAGACTGGGAAGAGTGAATCTACAATAGGCAAGCAGCTTGGTGTGAAAAAAATCAACTGTGGGAGCAATCATCAGAAAATGGAAGACATACAAGACCACTGATAATCTCCCTCGATCTGGGGCTCCATGCAAGATCTCATCCCGTGGGGTCAAAATGATCATGAGAACGGTGAGCAAAGATCCCAGAACCACACGAGGGGACCTGGTGAATGACCTGCAGAGAGCTGGGACCAAAGTAACAAAGGTCACCATCAGTAACACACTACAACGGCAGGGAATCAAATCCCGCAGTGCCAGACGTGTTCCGCTGCTGAAGCCAGTGCATGTCTAGGCCCGTCTGAAGTTTGCCAGAGAGCACATGGATGATACAGCAGAGGATTGGGAGAATGTCATGTGGTCAGATGAAACCAAAGTAGAACTTTTTGGTATAAACTCAACTCGTCGTGTTTGGAGGAAGAAGAATACTGAGTTGCATCCCAAGAACACCATACCTACTGTGAAGCATGGGGGTGGAAACATCATGCTATGGGGCTGTTTTTCTGCCAAGGGGACAGGACGACTGATCCGTGTTAAGGACAGAATGAATGGGCCATGTATCGTGAGATTTTGAGCCAAAACCTCCTTCCATCAGTGAGAACTTTGAAGATGAAACGAGGCTGGGTCTTCCAACATGACAATGATCCAAAACACACCGCCCGGGCAACAAAGGAGTGGCTCCGTAAGAAGCATTTGAAAGTCCTGGAGTGGCCTAGCCAGTCTCCAGACCTCAACCCCATAGAAAATCTGTGGCGGGAGTTGAAAGTCCGTGTTGCTCGGCGACAGCCCCAAAACATCACTGCTCTCGAGAAGATCTGCATGGAGGAATGGGCCAAAATACCAGCTACTGTGTGTGCAAACCTGGTAAAGACCTATAGTAAACGTTTGACCTCTGTTATTGCCAACAAAGGTTATGTTACAAAGTATTGAGTTGTATTTTTGTTATTGACCAAATACTTATTTTCCACCCTGATTTACGAATAAATTCTTTACAAATCCTACCATGTGGATTCATGGATTTTTTTTTCACATTCTGTCTCTCACAGTTGAAGTGTACCTCTGGTGCAAATTACTGACCTCTGTCATCATTTTAAGTGGGGGAACTTGCACAATCGGTGGCTGACTAAATACTTTTTTGCCCCACTGTATGTATGTATGTATGTATGTATGTATGTATGTATGTATATATATGTATATATTGTACTATTCTTAGTTAGCGTATTGTCTGTCTTGTCTTAATGTTGGTTTAAAATGGAGCACTGTAACAAAAAATAATTTCCCCCAGGGATCAGTAAAGTATTCTGATTCTGATTAAACCCTTCTGTCAATGGCAAAGTACATTGAAACTGGAGGTTTTGGTTTCACAGCTCATTTCAGACATCTAATCAACTGATAGTATAAAAATAGCGATTATTTGGTCTACTAATGCTGAAATGCCACTCTATCAGGACACAAGATTATAAATACACAAATGGAAATGTGAATAACAGACCACAGTTTTAAAAAACACATAAAATATTGCAAACGTGATGCAATTTCATTTTCCTTACAAAATCACTCTGCACTAAAAAGACTGGCTAACGAGTGTCTCTCTTTGACCTACAAAGGAAGAACTCCAAATATAAGAAGAAATACTAGTATCTTGCTCATGTAGTCTGCACATCACTTTGTGGACAACAATAGTCTTTTCATCCTTCGCATCCTTCAAAAAGCTTAGACTAAAACATTCTTCGTAATGTGAGGATTGTATGGTAAAGTTTTGCTGCTGCTGTAATAACCACCTGCGTGTTTGCCACATATTCTGAATTTAGGATCTCATGCCACAACAGTAACCACGGCTCCCTAAAAATAGCAGTCTATACCATCTTAATTATGCAAGAGAACTAAGCCAGTCTCCCAAAAACCACAGGAGGAAACGTTGCATGGCCTGATGAGGTCAAAGCACTCAACGGTATCACTCAAACATAGTGATGGTGACATAGACAGAGGTAGACTCTGTGGTCAGAGGGAAGTTAAAAACATGGTATTTTGAGGAAAAACCTTTTTGACAAAAAAGGAAAAAAAAAAAGATTTTTAATGTACAGCTGGAAAAAATGCACTACATCTTAAAAAAAGTCAATGTCTGCCCTAGAGGCAAAAAAGAAAAAAGGAAAATCTTCATGCAGTGTATTTCAAATATTGATATATGCAGTAAACAAACTATTAAAGTTTCAGCACCTATCTCTACAGGAATAAATAATAAACATGTTATGTCTGACAACCCCCCTTGCACGCAGGGCAATCTCGGCTGTGGACAGCGAGAGAAAAAAAACAATAAACACAGCACGCTATTACGTCACCACCCTCCTAATGGGAAAAGCATCTCTCTCACTTTGTCACGTGAACTGACTGAACATCTCAGTTTTGCATCTGGAGTCCCAACCAAGTTATTTTCTTCTCAGCAAAGCCTGAGGGAATTTTTTTCACTTGACAGGTAAAGACAAAGACTGTTTCACAACAGTTCTTCACTGCCCTCTAAAGGCTGCAAACAGCAAAGGGAAATCCAGCAGTATGAAATTTTGCCAGCTGTACCATAATCTGTATGGAGCTCAGCCTCGACCAGACCAGCGTGACATTTCCAAGGCTGGAAAAATTATTCATAGCATCGCCACACTCTGAATTAAGGTGTGGCTCTGTTTACCTGAGTGGTCTTGTTCTGTTCTACTCTTGCACTTTTACTCCATGTCTTCAATCTATAAAATGTGGAAATGATTAAGTGCAAAAATAAATTTAAAAAATTAATCCAATTTTCATCTTTGACTGAATCATTAAAATTCTCTAATAAAGCGACAAAATATCACAAAGCAGGAAGAATGTCAGAACCTTTTTTTTCCTACATTATATTTTTACCGCAATAACAGGCTTCATTCCCCCATTCTTATAGCTACAACCTTTCTTCATTATATTGAGAAATGCTTTCATTAAGATAGGGTGATTGGGATTTTCCATTAAACTGCCCGACAGAATAATTGCTTCAGAATTGACCAAATACAAGTCAGAAGCAATACAAAGACAATAGAATAAATAATCCTATAACACAACATAAAACATCACATGTAGTACAGTATGCATGGCCCAGCTCTACATAATGAGTGCATCAACTGTATTCAACTGATAATACCTTCATAATTTTACTAATGTAAGTATTTAAATCTGCTAACTTTTAATACACATTAGCCAGACCTTTGTATTGATAAGGCTATTACACATGTATAGTACTGTGCAGGTTTCACCTTGTTGTCCAAGTTTTTTGGGGGGGGGTTAGACACTGGCTGCTATTTCCACTCATTTTCAATCCAGTCCTTGTACTGGACCATTTCCAGGAGAATCTTATTTAATAGTTTGTATTTTAAATTTCATAAGCCATTTAACACTGACCTGTGAATAATTCATGCACAAAAAGGCATCTAATTCAAGTGATGAACCCATTCCATTTACACATATTAGACAATTTAGCAAAGAACCCATTTTAAATTGTATCACCTTCAGCCTAGGTGACTCCTAAAGAACTACTAGCTGAAAACTTAGCATCTCTCAGCATTGTGTGAATCATGGTTGATTCCCATACTGTCCAATTCAATTTGAATTCAATTTGATTTATACAGCACCAAATTACAACAACAGTCGCCTCAAGGTGCTTTATATTGTAAGGTAGAACCTACAATAATACATACAAAGAAAAACCCAACAATCATATGACCCCCTAATAGCAAGCACTTTGGCGACAGTGGGAAGGAAAAACTCCCAAAGCCTCATCAGAAATGGTTTCAGTGGAAAGGTGGCTGTGACGAAGGTATTCTTAAGTTAACAAAGAAAAGGTGAGGTCTGCCAAAGTATACAAGAACTGCACTGAAAATCGGCAGCAACAGGTTTAATTAAGTGATGAATCTAAATTCAGAAATTGTTGGTTCAAACTTCAAACTTGTTATCAACATGTGCATGGGGACATAATAGTGAGTATCTGAAGCCATCACTAAAACACGGTGGAGACTCGGTCATATTTTGGGGCTGGATTTCAACCAGTGGTGTCAGAGATCTTGTCAAAATTGATGAACACAGAAAGAAACCAGCAGATTTTGATCCACCATGCAAAACCATCTGAAAAATCATCTGCCTGGCAGTGCATTATGATGGAGGGAATGCGGTACCTTAGGCCTGAGTAACATAGACCTAGACACCAGTCAACAACGAGGTGGATGAGTGGCTGCTGGAGGTTGGCTTGCTGTCATTGGGTGACACTGGTCACAAACAGGTATACGGTTGCTTGCAGATTGCTGTGGCTTGCACAGAAGATGCTGACTCCTCTGCAAACACTTTACTACAAAGAAGTATTAAAACTAAAGTGCGATACAAACTGCAAACTAAGAACATTTGCCTTCAAATTGAAAGTTTCGCCTCTCTACTGAAAATAACACGTTTAAATAAACTTTTACTTTTAAGGCGAATGGTTGAGAGTAGTTGGCAAGTGTTTGCAGACTAGTCAGCATCTTTCATACAAACTAAAGTTAACCAAAGCAATCTGCTAGCAACCGTATACCTATTTGTGACCAATTTCACTTAACAGCAGCAGGCAACCTCCAGCAACCACTCATCAAACAGACCTGTGGATACTCCAAGTCTCACTGATTGGCCTCTTGGTGCATGACTGTGGCTTAAAAAAAAAAAATCTATTTCACAGAGATTGCCAGCAACCACTTGCAACTAATTGGGAATACTCACTTTTCCCTAGTAACTAGTGGTTACCAAGCAGTCAACAACCAGACTCTAGGCCTGTATGACCAGGGCCTTAACAAGTCCACATAATCCTTTCATACTTTCTGTAAGGGGGCATGGGTATACATTATCAAAGTGGAAAAGATGCTGCTCTCATAACTTCTGCTTTACAAGAATATTAAGAGCAACACTTACAAGTTGTATGCAGAAAAACTTCTAATGTTAATCTATTATGTTTTGTTTTTTGGTTTTCATTGTGTTAATTTGGAAATCAAGTTCAAGTCTCTGCTTGACGTTTAATTTATGTTTCATATAACAATTCTACTGCAATTCTTACAGCATGGGGATTTTCCAAACTAACTACTTGACTATTTTCTAATGAAACTGCACTTTTCTTCCAAACCAGACCACACACAGAAAATACTCAGGCTTTAAGCAGCTCCCTCTGATGATCTGCGATGGCAGACATCAGTCACATTCATGTGCGAATGACTGCCAGCTTACCATTCAATTCATTAAGCTCTAATTTTCTTAATTGCAGAGTGAAATGATTTGATGCGATGCAGCTGTCTGCTGCTTAGCAATAAACTCCTCAGAGTGACCTTTGCTGGCAAAACAACATGCTTGTAATAATTGTGATTAATAGCTGGAAACACAATCAGGCTGCTGTAAGGAGCTATCAGCACATCTCAGGATAAAAAGTCTTACCGGCACAGAAGATGCGGAGCTGCTGAGCCGGTGATATGAGGTTGAGGTGTGTGGTGAAGAGGTCCACAAATGCACCAGGATAAACTACGAACACAAACATCCCAAATCCATTCACTCGCACTTGCTCCCTGCGTGAGAACAGAAATAAAAAAAACAAAGAAACATTAGATTTTAAAGGGAAACAGACTCTATGAGGGGTGTCAAACATACAGCCTGAGGGCCGGAGCAGAAGGAAGATAAAGGAGGTCATCATTTTTGGATTTTTATCATGACCTAGAAGACAAGGAGCCATGCCAAAGCTTTCTTTCAGCTATGATGGAAATATTTCTTTGCAGACTACCAGAAAGTGAAAGAAGCGACAGTGGAATCCCACTCATTTTATTTATTTCAGCCTTGCCATCATGGATCGGATTGATTGGATTGATTCAATACAAATGAAAATATTCCAACAGTACTTGTATTTCTTTATACATACAGCGTATTATCAAGTGGTTTTACTGGTCTAGCCCTGTCTGACACCCTACAAAGGAACTTGCCCTGAGGCCAGTCTCTACAATTGTATACACAAAACCGGTGAGCTCAGAAGGCAGAGCAGGTCACCTACTAATCAGTTTTGTAGTTTGATCCAGTCTGCATGTCAAAGTATCCATGGGCAATATATTGAACCACAGGTTGCTCTCTGATGTGTTGATTGGAGTGTCATGTGTGTGAAGGCATAGAAAAAAAGTCCTTGTATAAATGGGTGCGAATAAGTGAACAAGGCAAGCTGTATAAAACACTTTGAGTGCTCAAGTGAAGTAGAAAAGCACTATATAAGACCCAGTCCTTTTACCATTTACCACAAAAGCCCACAACATACAAAAGAACAGCAAATGCACAGAAAACAGTGCACTTCAAGAAAGCACTTACACTGTACTTACAATAACAGCGCAAAATATTGCACTATTCATTCAATTTTCACCTAGAATCAAATGTTCAAGCCAATTTTTGGTCCTTGAATTTAACAGAGGGTAAACTCTCCTGCTAAGAGAGAATCTTTGTTAACAGCTGGTACTCCAACAACTGAAGTGGTGGAAGCTCCTGGGCAACGCTGGGCAGCTTCCAGGTTTTGGGCACAGTGAGGGAAAATCTTCAAAATCCAAGGTATGACAGATACATAAGAAATGGCAGACTTGATTTACGCTCTCAACGGTAGATAGACTGGTGACAAGCATATGACAGACTGGACCACTTCCTGATGGGAGTCATGTGGTAAGAATGCTTTTTCTTTTTTGAAGGCTTGTAATTAGGTGTTTTAGGGGGTACATGACATACCATGGATGTGCACATGAGATAGGGCACACCTACTAGAAAAAGGCAAAGAGCAGAGCTCATGTGAGATCAAACTGGGCTTCGCTGCCCTTGAACTCAAATGACACACCAGACTCCACTAAACGTATAAGAAGTATTGAGACCATTTAGACAAACACACTATTGTGTCTGTGAATATTTAGAGGCAAACATAGATGTAGCTTCTGGGAAGTTTGGAGGTACCTTAAACCTTCAAATAGAAAGCAAGGGGAAACATCTGGCTCCAAGCAGAAGCCGGCTTGTGTAAGAAGCTATGGGAAAATCTATTCTGGCGCTCACTGGATATTTGACCTCAGTAAACATTTTGCTAGTAATTTCATAATCTAATTTTTTTTTTAGATTATGTGGTTATTAACTGATATGTAATTAAAGCGGGGTGTACTTAGGGCAGAGCCAATGTGCAGTAAGGGAACGTTATTCGCCTCAGGTGTGCAGCAGCACTTGGGGTTACTAAATACGACTGCAATATACAGGGTTCATCAAAAAGAACCATCCAATTTCAAAAGGCTATATTTGTTAAAGTAACAGACATAGAACCTTGAAATACATTTTAAAATACATGGCTGAATATAATGTTTTATATACAAAACTTGCAATTTTCACAACTGCTCAGCATGTCCCTTTCTAGACAAACAGCATATGTCCAGCAACCACATGAAACTCATGGATCCCCTCTTTGTAACAACGCATCTTTCGATTGTTACAGGCGAACAGCTGCAGAATTACAGCACTTTGAAATCAAACAACTCTTTTTGATACACCCAGTATATATTGGACTGAAAGTTAAGAATTCATTGTTAATTTAGTGCAACAGAATTTACAATAAACATCCTTTAAAAAAAAAAATCAAAACAATCTTTGGCTTGCCCTTTGGTGTGGTGGAAACTAGTACAAAAACTACTAGTTTTTGGCTTCCTTGAACCCCTGTTTGATTGAATCAAGATACTGACTTGACTGTTTATGGATGTACATATTTTTCAAATGTTAATTATTTTCCTATATTTGTCATAAATACATACCACTGTACTTGGAACCTAGCCCCCTACTGCCTTCATGTTTATCTGTACACAAGTTGTATCCTGTATTAAAATAAGTGCAACCCTTTTAAGAAAAAAAATCCTCCAGCAGAGGTTAATCACAGTCTTACAGACTGGATCCACATGAAAGAAGTCTTTGAGGCTCCTCACTTAAAAATCACTTGTCTGAAATCAGTGGCTTTGTGAAAAATAGGATGATGCAGCAGATCAGAGGGGTCATCTGGACCATGTGCTATGCACACTAATTCATTAGTTTGGATTTGCACAATCCACCTAATCATTAACTGTAATCAGAACCAATGCACCATGAAATAAAAATCAGGAATGAATTAAAGGGATTTTTTGGGGCTCATCAAAATCACACAAAGTGAGCAAGTAATACAACGCAATGAAACAAAATCACCAGCAACTTGTGGTTTTGAATTTGACATCAAAACATGCGATTAATACAAAAAACACATTTAATTTCCACTGTACCTGGACAGCCTAAACCACTCTAATTTTATCAAACCGGTGTTTTAAGGTCAAATTTAAATACTAAAGTAGCAGAAACACATTCTACTTAAAGCAGAATAGAAGGCAAAGGGCTCTATATTTGGCTCATGTCTGCAGGCACATTGTCCCATCTTTAACAATCCTTTATCTCTGATTCAGATAAATCCTTTATCTTAATCCCGAAAGGTTATCAAGGGACAAGATTATAAATCAGGCTCCTCTCCTGTGGAACCAGCTCCCAGTTTGGCTTCAAGAGACAGACGTCCTCTCTACTTTTAAGACCAGGCTTAAAACGTTTTGAGCAGAAGTCTGACATACATTTACAACGTCCTCCTTGCAAACACACTTGTAGTATTGGAGTCTTTGTATTCTTTCACCTTTCTGGAGTTTAATATATTATCCACCAACAAAACAAATGCTCTTCATCATGATGGATTCATGCTGGATGCTACGTTGACACTACAATGTGGTGCGGTGTGGTTATTACCTCAGTGCTGCCACAGCGTGGCCCAGCTCATGTATTACTCCACTGAGCAGCAGGGCGATGAAGAAGTAGGCCAGCTGACTTGTGGGTAGATTAACGCCGGGGACCTAAAGACACACCAGAGACAAAAAAAAAAAAGAAACTGACTAAGATACGAACATAAAACATAATTCACAGAGTTAAAAAATCAGCATTTATGGTTAGTTTTATCCTAAAAATGAAGAGCCAATTTAACCACAGTGTAACATCTTCCCAAATAAAAAATTCTAATTTGTATCACCACTAGGGCTGCCACGATTTGTCGACTAGTCACGATTACGTCGACTATCAAAATCGTCGACGACTGATTTAATAGTCGACGTGTCGTTTGAAGCTTTGTAAGATCGCAAAAGACGCAGGAATAATAGCAGGATTTAAGAGTGTAATAACGGACTGAAACAGAAGATGGCAGCACAGCATGTACAAGGATGCCAGCTGCCGTTAAACCCCGAAGAAGAAGAAGCAGCTGTGTCCCAGAATTCATAGCGCGGCCCAGCTTAGTTTCCAACAATGGCGGTAGCTAGTTAGTTTTAATATTACTCTTATTATTCTTTCTGGGTCACAAAATAAACGTTTAACATATTTTCAGGCGAGAATGTAGCTGTGTAAACCTCAAATATCGGCTCAGTTTATCAGGACACCACATATTTTCAAAAGCGCTCCGACGTTTTCGGAGACGTCTGTTACCCACTAGCTCGATAGCTAGGTCACTAGCGCCGTGAGAACACCGGACTCCCGGCAAATTGTTTTCAAACCCACCGCCGTCTTTCGCGACTCAGGTTAAATATATATGAGTCACTTAGATAAATTAAAAATGTTGTTGTTTGGCTTTTTTTTTTTTGTATTTTATTTGTTCCTGAGTAAATCGGTTTGGCTGAGATTAAAGTTATAGTTTTTACACAGCTGAATAAACGTCAAGCAGACAGCTGATTATCAGAAGTGTGAGATGCTGGAGAATATACTCCGGTGTCCTGTTATATTTTAGATAGCAAGGAGTTTATTAAACTTTACCGAAACAATCTGCAAATTTCATTAAAATTGAATAAACTATCATCTTGTCTTTATTTTTAGTTAGCACCTTAAAAGCTTAAAGCTGTAAGCTAATGATAGTTATATAAGAGCAGATGCTGCTGGTGCAATAAGCTGTAGTTTCTTGGATATAAATGGCCCACTAATAGCTTCCCATGAATCACCTACAGAGCTCCACTGGGGATAGGGCTCACATTTATGCACGGTTATTTGACACCATAATGAATAAAAAGTGAACAGGGAAACACTTCTGAAAAGCAGGGGTCTTTTTTTTTTTCATGGCACAGACATTTGAATTTCACACGCTTATGATCAACTCTGAAGGATGTTTTTATCCAGTTACACACAGAAAAGAGACACAAAAGCTTACAGATTTAAATCTGATGAATACTTTCCATTTTCATTCAGCTGATGTAACTTATGTATAGAAATCACATTAAAGTCAACCTACCACCACCTGCAGGGTCTGTGGATCTCCAATCCGTGGGTTGTCTGTGGTCATCTGAGCGATGGTCTGCTGCAGAGTCCTTATCAGCAGCACCACTGAGCCCAACATGGCAGCGATGCCAAACACCAGACCACTGTTGAACCTGGGAAACACAGATGGGATGCAAATTCAACAAGTGCAATTTTGCTGTACTTTTTTCACATTTATAAATGTGAAAAAACTAAAGATTATTAAAGCTACACAACGGGAAAAACACCTGGAATTGAGAAACTCAGAAATGCCACACCAAGTCAGTTCCACACTAAGAGTATTATTTTTAAAAACAGTCACTACTACAAGTCATCTACTATAAATCCAAAAGTTTGGGGGTGTTAGCATAAAAAATATGAATCAATAAAACAAACATGTAAAAACTGGCCTGTCCTTCAGGTTCCTTCCTAAACTGTGTCATGGGAAAACGACTTCTTTGACCAGACGCAGATAGCGTTAGGACCTTTACCTTTGAGAGTAGAGTTTAAATCCTACAATCCAGACCAAATCCTGACCGGACCTCATCGCCTACAAACAGTCCAGAATGCTGCTGTGAGGCTTCTCATCACGTCCTCTAAATGGTCCTGGCTTTACATTGGCTTCGAATTAAAGCTTAGGATTCAAATCAAAATTCTTTCAAATCTCTGACAGTCAGATGCCCCTCTATATTAGTCAGCCTTTAAATCCATATGTAACTAGCAAGACATTACAGTTTATTGTTCAGTGCTGCTAGCTGTCCCACAGTCCAGGTTAAGGAAGAAAGGAGCTTTTGAGGTCTGTGGACATTTCTGATACCTTTAAGGGAAGCTTAAGACCAGCTTTTATTCCCATTTTATTTTTTTTCCATCATTGTCTTCATCTTACTGTGAAGAGCCATGTGATGTTATGTTATTGAGAAGTGCTTTGTAAATGTTACTTGCTTACTGAAAAGTCAAAAATCGACTTACTTTCAGCATGTATGATGCATGTCTATCTGTCCATTTAGTCTTTAGAAAGAGAGAGGACATCTGCAGGAGGAAAGATGTCTGCTAACATCTCAAGCTATTTATTTTTTACATTTGCTGCCGACTTTAGCTTTTAAGGCTCGGTTGTCATACGGCTGGTTATAGGAAGTCAGTGCAGACTCAGTTTGCAATTAAAATGTAATCCTCTAAAATGTCTTTTTCTTCCAGGAAACAAATTATGTCCCGTGAAAGTAAGTCAACAGCTTCTCTGAATCCATTTACTGCAGAAAAGACGTTTTTAGAAATGTTATTAAATTGCCAAATGCTTTTATGATGAAAAAGGAAGGTTGAGGAAAGCTTTTAGCCAAACCATCAAGTATCAAAGTCAAAAGTAACACAGCGCCTCATTTACAAGAAAAAAAAAAGTATAATTTTATTGTAACTGAAGTGGAAGGAAGCAGGAATCTGAAGGTGTGGACAAGGTTTATAGAGGGAAATTAGTCTCAAAATGTTTTACAAACGTGCGTGTTATGATCCATAAGCATAAACTAACTTGCAAATGTACTTATTTATTGTGCGTACTGTATCTGTAACTTGTAAATGTATGTTTTGTAGTCGAGGAGTGATGGGCTGTTCTGTTTGTTCAGGAAAAAAAAACAAAAACAAAACGTTGTTTTATTTGAAAAACACATGAGGAAGCTCAGATGTCCCGGTTTTCCACTAGCACCTGAATCAAATCATTTGTACACATTTGTAAATGTTAGTTTAGGCTTGTGTGTCACAACATACACATTTTCTACCATTTTTGACACTAACTGCACTCGATTAAAGTTCAGAAAGACTACAGGAACAGCTGAGTGGATTATATATACAGAAACCGTACCACATGTAAAGAGCCCGGGGGTTGATGCGGGCGCAGTATGCAAATAGTCGGTTGAACATGGTGGTTTGCCATCTCACGTGAAAAGGAGACAACATCAGGCCACGACTGGCGAGCCATGACTCATAGCTGATCCGATGCGTCACCGATGACTGCAGGACAGAAACAAAGTCAGCGCACGAGAACATCCACATTTAGAAAGCACGTCTAACTGGAGTTATTCTGTAAGAGCTTATAGTGTTCACATATTTCCAATGTCCGGACCTCAATAAGCTGTAATCAGAAAAGGTTCTGCATATTGAAACCCCCAATCAGAAGGAGAATTTTACACTATTCATCTCTAACTTTATATAAGCTACAAGGGGTTACAATGTTAAAAATTGCCCACCGATGTATGTAATGATAAAAGCAGCCAAATGCTTAATCATTGTAAGAAAAGGAAAAGTCGAGGGAGGAGGACCGACTGAAATAGTTTACACACAAAACAGCTCAGAAATGAGGCCGCAGAATGCCTCTAACTTGGTAGGAAATAAGGTTTTTATGTTTTATAAATAAAACGAAGGCTTCTCAAATCTGAAACTGGGATTTAAACTCCACTGAACATTAAAATTGATTTTGCAGTGATATTTAAAGGCTTTCAAAGTCTTCATTAACTCATCTGTACACTGTTCAAAATGCAGCTGAAATTGAGCAGATGTTGATATTACAAGCCTCATTCACTGGCTCCTCTGTATCTTTAGATCTGACAAGATGTTACATGTTTTTACATGGGGATATACTTTTGGCTAGCAAAAGTGTCTGATTCAACTGCAACTTGCTAAGGGTCATTTAACCAAACCCTGTGTCGAGTCAAGAAAATCCTAAATAAATTCAATTTTGCTCACCCAGTTATAGTTTTTTGAAGTCGAAATATATGACTAATAGCTGGGATAGGATCCAGCAGGCCTGCAACACTAATTAGGATAGCCAGTTAATGAAAACTAATAAGTGGACGGATGCCCTGATGGATGTCTCAGTTTTAAAAAAAAATAGGTTAATAACAAATTTTCTTTCTTTTTTCTCACTAATCCTTGAATGTGCTTCCACACTAATAATGCTACAGTGGGGCAAAAAAAGTATTTAGTCAGCCACCGATTGTGCAAGTTCCCCCACTTAAAATGATGACAGAGGTCAGTAATTTGCACCAGAGGTACACTTCAACTGTGAGAGACAGAATGTGAAAAAAAAAAAAATCCATGAATCCACATGGTAGGATTTGTAAAGAATTTATTCGTAAATCAGGGTGGAAAATAAGTATTTGGTCAATAACAAAAATACAACTCAATACTTTGTAACATAACCTTTGTTGGCAATAACAGAGGTCAAACGTTTACTATAGGTCTTTACCAGGTTTGCACACACAGTAGCTGGTATTTTGGCCCATTCCTCCATGCAGATCTTCTCGAGAGCAGTGATGTTTTGGGGCTGTCGCCGAGCAACACGGACTTTCAACTCCCGCCACAGATTTTCTATGGGGTTGAGGTCTGGAGACTGGCTAGGCCACTCCAGGACTTTCAAATGCTTCTTACGGAGCCACTCCTTTGTTGCCCGGGCGGTGTGTTTTGGATCATTGTCATGTTGGAAGACCCATCCTCGTTTCATCTTCAAAGTTCTCACTGATGGAAGGAGGTTTTGGCTCACAATCTCACGATACATGGCCCCATTCATTCTGTCCTTAACACGGATCAGTCGTCCTGTCCCCTTGGCAGAAAAACAGCCCCATAGCATGATGTTTCCACCCCCATGCTTCACAGTAGGTATGGTGTTCTTGGGATGCAACTCAGTATTCTTCTTCCTCCAAACACGACGAGTTGAGTCTATACCAAAAAGTTCTACTTTGGTTTCATCTGACCACATGACATTCTCCCAATCCTCTGCTGTATCATCCATGTGCTCTCTGGCAAACTTCAGACGGGCCTGGACGTGCACTGGCTTCAGCAGCGGAACACGTCTGGCACTGCGGGATTTGATTCCCTGCCGTTGTAGTGTGTTACTGATGGTGACCTTTGTTACTTTGGTCCCAGCTCTCTGCAGGTCATTCACCAGGTCCCCCCGTGTGGTTCTGGGATCTTTGCTCACCGTTCTCATGATCATTTTGACCCCACGGGATGAGATCTTGCGTGGAGCCCCAGATCGAGGGAGATTATCAGTGGTCTTGTATGTCTTCCATTTTCTGATGATTGCTCCCACAGTTGATTTTTTCACACCAAGCTGCTTGCCTATTGTAGATTCACTCTTCCCAGTCTGGTGCAGGTCTACAATACTTTTCCTGGTGTCCTTCGAAAGCTCTTTGGTCTTGGCCATGGCGGAGTTTGGAGTCTGACTGTTTGAGGCTGTGGACAGGTGTCTTTTATACAGATGATGAGTTCAAACAGGTGCCATTCATACAGGTAACGAGTGGGGGACAGAAAAGCTTCTTACAGAAGACGTTACAGGTCTGTGAGAGCCAGAGATTTTCCTTGTTTGAGGTGACCAAATACTTATTTTCCACCCTAATTTACGAATAAATTCTTTACAAATCCTACCATGTGAATTCATGGATTTTTTTTTCACATTCTGTCTCTCACAGTTGAAGTGTACCTCCGGTGCAAATTACTGACCTCTGTCATCATTTTAAGTGGGGGAACTTGCACAATCGGTGGCTGACTAAATACTTTTTTGCCCCACTGTATAATTATCCCCTGCTGTTTTTATTGTGAATGGCACTTTCCTCTTTGTTTGTACCTGATTTTAATATCTTTTTGCGCTGCACCTTTGGACTCTCTTCTTCCTTGTTTACTTGTGTTTTGCTTTGTAATTCCACGAAATTTTAAGGGTTAGAGAGCAGATCTCTAGGTTGCCAGGTTTTCCAGGATACATGGAAATCCTGAGTTATACTCTACACTACTGCAGGTACTCGCTTATAGTTTACTCTGATAGCATTTAAAGATAGACAGGGTCTTATATTTCCCACATTTTCTGCTCACTTTAAGCATTAAACGCATCTCATGGACAGACATTGTGAAGTAATGGCCGTAATGTGTTTAATAGCGGGGTTTCCAGCGGTTCCAGGGCTGCTCTGGCCTGTTTACACGAGTGCCCACAGCTCAAACCTTCTAATGGTTAAATCCATTCACGTGCGTTAGCTGACAGACTGCTGAGCAGGAAGAAAAACAAAAAGGCAAATATTCACCCTGAGCAGCGTGTCCGCCAGATAGACAGCACACCAGCCTGCCATCACAAACACCAGCAGGGACACGGGGATCATGGTGCAGCCGTTACAGGACTCCACACCGCGCCGCCTTCATCACTCTCTCTGCCCGCCGTTTGTCACGCAGCTGGCCGCCGTCATTAGCGTCCAACGCTGCCATAAAATGCCGTCACTTACGGTGAACTGCAAACAGACAGAAAGGTTTGATTTCACGAATGCCGTGAATCGGAAGGAGTGTCAGCACTGCGCGACAAAACTCCGGCTTCTTCTTCGACACTTTCTTTTGTCCCTGCCAATATTGCGCCATCAGGTGTTCAACTGCAGCATCTCACTTTTCATTTTGGGTAGTTTTTACAAATTTCTAATTTAAAAAATTAAAACAAAAATAATTACATTTGCAGTAAAAAATAAAAAGTATTTTTAAAAATTCACAAATTCTAAATACTAGTAAAGAAGTAAAAAATATAATTATAGAAATTACATATAAAAAGAAATAAATTAAATGGCAGAAATTGATAGAGAGAATTTTTTTAATGTAAATTAAAAAAAAACAAAAAAACAATTCACAGTGGATTGTCCCAGTGCTTACTATATATAGGGCACAGAGCTGTAACCCTAAAAATGGAGAATTGCATAATCAGTTGGCTCAGCTGCAGACACAAAAATGAAAGTTTGTTTTTGGATATTAGATTTCATCCTGCCAAAAGGTCAATGGGGGTAAAAGGAAACCAATAAATGTGGATTGCCAGAGTCAGGCGCAACAAGAAAATAAGCTCCCAGTCTGACTCATTAAGCCATAAATGTGGCCAAGGGAACATAAAACTGCTTGTGGATAAAGGCCAACATGTTGCTGTACATCAGTTCCTACAGAGCCTTCAGCCTTTCAGAATAACTGTGTTATTTGAGCTTAATGAGGACACAGCTGCAGATGAAAACTGTCTATTTGGGTGCAATAAACCCCCCTCTAAAAGGTTAAACCCCAATTTCAGTTTACCTCCTCCTTTATGAGGTTTTACTCTTAAAGTAAGTAATATCAAACTTTGCCACAGCCACATTTATCTCCTTTTAGGCCCTGCGGCAACAGTTTGTGGTTGTGCGCTTAGTGATACCGATTATACACACCATGGTGTATTTATTTTATCCACAGACAGGCAGATTATATTGTTTGTAAAGCTCCTTTTTTCATTATTTGCCTATGAAATAAACTTCCTTTTGGCATTTCTAGGTTAGTTTGGAAGATATTTACATAGTCCTGAGGAATATGTAAATGGTTATTCCTCAGGACTATGTAAATAACTCGATCACCTTTAAGTCACCTTGGATTGTCAGACTTTGAACCTTACACTGGACTAGCAGATGCCTTTTAAACAACATTTAAACTTTTCCCATTAAAAAAAATATCAACAGAGTCTGTATTATTATGGGAGCATGATTCTGGATTTCCAACAAGGTAAATGTTTTCAATGGAGAAAAAAAAAAGAACATATTTGATGGGGTTTTTGTTCAGGTGAAATGAATGATTGATTGAGCTCTACAGTATTCCCATTATTGAATGATGATACTTTTCCACAGGTTTTCTTTGTTTTAAAGGTGATATACAGCATAAACAACTTCAGAGCCACAGCACAGACCAAAACAAATGAGCACATTAGCCACACCTTCTCACTTCCTTCATGATACATTTATAACCAAAAGCCAAAAGCAACACCCAAATACAATTAGCTCTATGCAATACATTGAATATCTATTAGATGCTGCAGTTACCACCTGTAGAGTTTGCTTGTTTGTTTTTTCAGTTATCTTCGGGGAGGGGGGGGGGGGGGGGGGTTTCAGTGTGTGCCATCTTGCTTTTATATTGCCGTGTTGAGCTTAATGGCCTTCATAAGCATGTGGCTGGTCAAAAGTTTAAAAGTGAGGGACTTGCGACTAGTGACTGGCTGGACCAGCTCCAAGATAAAAAATCCGGAAACTAAAATTACAACACAAAAAGGAAATATGACCCCAGTGCTCTGCTACTAGTTGTTTTTTCTATAATAATACTCAAAGTCTTTCAATTATAGATTTGTGCAAAAGAATATTTTCTCAGGACTCCATGCAGTTCTTTGGAAAACTAAGTACAATCCAGAGGAATTGAGTGTGTAAGTAGCAGCCAGAAGCTGCTAATCAAATGCATTCGATTAACTGATCATCAGCAAGTTTAAGCACATCTATAAAAGCAGAAGAACTTTGAAAAATAACAAACCTGCACGACTTGGTTGCAAGGTTGTGTTTACAACAAACCACCAGATTTCAAATGTCCTTTGAATGAAGTGGAGATATTTTTCCATAATGCACAGTACCACGTTTGGTGAAAACCAAACACAGTATATCAGCACGACCGCCTCATCTGACAAGCACAGTTGTGGAAGGGTGATGATACGGGGTTTTGTCTCAACCAAAGGAACTGGGCATCTTGTACCAACTGAATCGAAAATTAATGTATTCTAGACTCAAATGTGCCAAGCTGTAGCAGTACTGCTGGCACAGCTTGGCTGAAACTGGTTCATGCAACAGTTCAACAGTCCCGAAGCATAGCAGCAAACCTATAACAGAATGGCTGAGAAAGAAAAGAATCGAGGTGTTCCAGTGGCTCAGTCAAAGTTCAGAATACAACCCGAATGAAATGCTGTGGTGACTATTAAGAGAGTTGTGCATAAACAAATCCCAACAAACCCCAATCAACTGAAACAACACTGTAAAAACTAGTGGGCCAAAATTCTCTGCAAGCTTTTAAATCCTTTAGGTCTACTTTCTTTTTCACAATACTGTAGAACTTTTTACAGACTGCTCTATCAAGGCAGAAAAAACAACTTGACAAAAACCTCATCGTTACATATCCATAAAAAGTTCTTTGACTTTCTCCTGCACCACAAGATTCAGTCATGTTTGATCTTTGTACTTTATACAGCCAATTTGCAATTAATCAGATCATGTCGAGAAATGTTATGCCTTGGATTTTCCCTCCTCTGGGCTCCACCAACCCGATCTCTGCAACAACACAATAAACACATTCAGTGATGAAAGTGTTTATCTATAATAGACCAGGACGGTCCTTCCCAACAGTTGAGACCTGTGTGTGTGGGTTGCATTTGCATAGTTTGAAATATATAACAAGCTTTCAGTTTGAGCCTCTTCATTTTACTACCCAGGGACACAACAGGTCAGTGTAACAAGCCTGACGATCGCTGTGCTTTGCTGCAATAAATGTGAACAGCCTCATGTGAAGAACACATCCAGAGAGAAAGGTAGGTTGAATGTGTCATAATGACTTCAAACATACAGAAGTGCACACACATAAACACACACACACACACACACACACACACACACACACACACACACACACACACACACACACACACCTATCCTTGTCTTTGTTACATTATAGGGCCACCTGTCCAAAACATGCAACTTGTCAGGTATTTTGTAATTAAAAAATTTGATTAAATATAAAAGTTATTTTCTTTGGTCCCCATACTTATTCTGGTTCCCACCCCATGACTGTGCTAACAGGTCCTTGTCCCCACAATGTAATAAAGACAAACACACACACAGACGCACAGAGGCTGAAACTCATTTTACTTCTCTGATGCTGGGTCGGGTTCCACTCTGGGAGGAGTTTTCTGTCTCGCAAGCCAATCAGGACAAGCGGAAACAGGTCAGGTAGCCGAAGAGGACCTCAGAGAGCGCACAGGCAAGGCAGAGCAGCTACGCACACCAGGAGGTAAGAAAGCACACACTCATTCATAGCCACATGCGCACCTTTAACTCTGTGGGATCACAGGTCTCCTCTGGGCTTCTGGTTGTACATCAGTGTATAAACGCAGATATACCAGCATGACTGCTTCTTTCTGTGTGTTTGTGTGCGTCGGGGTAGAAATAGGCCAGTCCCATTTTAGTCACTGAGATTAGGAAAGGGTGTTTTCGGGACTCAAGTGTCAGGGTTTGATGAAGAGCTAAAAATTACCATGCATCTCATCTCTGAATGCCATATAAACAGATAGATTTGAGTTTCATGAGTAAAATGTTTTATTTTCTGAATGAAGCTGCAGTGAAATTATTTTACTCTTTGGAACATTTTGCTACATGAGTAGATTAAAAAAAATCCAAATGCTTAAATCAGTGGCCTCACTTCTCATTATGAATGAATGAATATCCGATAATCTAGCAGACAGTTTCATGGTTCATTCTTAACTGGAGCATTTTTCTGCAATTGTTTAAAACCTTAAAAGCAATTTGAAATTAGGGATCAAGTCATCATAAATATTGCTGAATGAGATTGAATTACATTGGCAGACAAGCTGGATCGTAATTTTTAAAAATTAAGTTTGATCCTAACGTGAGTCCCTTATTTTTTGTCAATCAGAACATTACAATATATGAGAGCTTCTGGTTCATGCTGAAATGCCCTGAATCTATTTCGCATTATTTCCCTGTAAATATAACTTAAGTAAATGTTTGCATCAGCAAATATCATAAAAGCAGCCATAACAGAAGCTGGCAACATTGTGTTTGATTGGTTCATGGTTAAAGCATCAGATTTTTAAATGGTGTTTGGCCCAGTCAGGTACGAGAAAAATCATCTTTTTTAAGTTTACAAAGATCTCACTGTAGCTTAAAAATATGTAAACATCATATATGCAGACGGTGCTGCATTTCAGTGGTCTGCATTTAAAAATTTTAAAAACTTTTGGATCTTATTTGAAGAGTTTTAAAATGAGTGTGGATTATGAATTAATACATGTAAAAAGTGTTAAAGTCACTATGGTCTTGGAGTTAAATGTGTTTTGCTGCTCCTGACTAATCTTGTAAATGTAGTTTTAAAAAAAAGAACCCTTTAAAATCTATGCAAATTAAGCTGTTTCCAGTGCTCAGTGCGTCTGTTTGACTGTGTTTTGGTCCGTCGCTGTGTGTGTCCATGTGAGCATAGATAGAAAGCAGGTCCCTTCTGTGTATCACTCGTCTATTTATAGTGAGAACAAATCCCAGATATGAGAGGAATCCTCCTACCACTTACAAGGCAAAGAGAGAGAGAGTTAGTGAGCGTGAAAGAGGGAGAGGGAGAAGGAGAGAAAAGAAAGGAAGAGAAAGAGATGGAGAGAAGGCAGGCAAATAGTGCGTGAGGAGTCAAATAAACAAGAGCAGTGGGTGTAAAAAGCAAGCATCAGAAGAAAGAGTTGTTTCATCGACTGGTAAGTTCAGTCTCCTTTACATAATG